AAAATGAAAAATTTAGAATCATAATAATAAAATAAGGAATAACAATAAGAATACTTTAAATTATAATAAGAATTGAAAACCTTCACTACTTTCTTATAAGAATACTATAAAAATATTTAAGTTTTTAGTGAAGTTTAACCTGAGGCATTTTTGACTGATGAAATTAGAGATAAATTAGCTAATAATTTAAATTACACCTTAGAATAATTAAATGGTAAATAAGCTATTCAATATAAAACATAATCCTTAGAATCTGTTAAATTTGATCCTAAATTAATTATGGGAAATGTAATAGAATTGTATATCAATTTCAGTTAAAATGAAAAATTTTTAATGCAAGTTGTTAAAGATGATAGGTTAAAAATTTATATTTAATATAAGGTGTTTTTCCATAGAATTATTCTAAGTGACCATAAATTTATTAGACAAATATAACATAATACCATATGAAAGAATATAGTAGTTTAGAGATTTGATCTTTAAACTCTAAGAATATGAGGAGAAATAGAAAATAATCAATTAATTACCAGATGATGTACCTGAAGAATTTTTAGATCCTCTTTGTTATTCCTTAATGACTGATCCAGTTAAATTACCTCATTCTAATGTAAATATAAAATATTATTAAATTAGGTAATTGTTGATAGATTGACAATAAAGAAATAGTTATTAAATTAATAAATAGACCCATTTGATAGGACTCCATTAACAATAGAGATGGTTATAGAATAACCTGAATTAAAATAGAGAATTGCAAAATTCATTGAAAATTTAGAGAAAAAGAAAAACAAATAACAAATTAAAATAGTGTAGGAAGAAAATTGAAAATATTGAATCAATTAATTTTATCCAATTATCAAAGCATATTATAATATATAATAATTATTATATTAATATATTTAATTCAAAAAAATAATAAAAATAAAATAATATTATGAAAAAAGTTAATTATATATATGATGGATTTAGATATATTATTTAACTATTTTTTACATCAGGTCAGGAATGATCGACCATTTGAGGTAGAGTTCATGATCATTGAAGAAAGATCCTTATGAAAAGTGTCAATTATTGATTTTTTTTTTTATTCTGGAGAACGAGATGATACCTTCTTTTCAATAGGTGGATATCTTATCCTGTTCTCCTAAAAATTTTAATCTTAAGTAAAATATTCAGACATTTTCTTTTGAACTGTTTAATTCAATCTCTAAATTGATTTATTGACTTGGATATAGTTCTAATTAGAATTCACTCTAGATACTATAATATTTAAAATAAATTACAATGTGAAATTTTAGATAATAAACTAACTTATTTCATTATAGATCTTGATGAGATGAGATCCTTTTCTTCTGATTTTGATATATATTATTATTATTATTAAATCTTTTTATTTAACATTCCTTTTAGATTTCTACGTTCTTAATTAAGATAATCATTATCTGAAGCAGCTTAATCTGAAGTTTAATAATTATCATCAAGTTCTTTCTTGCGCATTTAATCAATAGTTTATAATGTTTATGATATGAGTTTTTCATGTAATAATGGAGATTTACGTTAGATTATACTAGATTATTAAATAAAAAATTAATGAAATTTAGTTTCATCACTAGTTTTTTATATTTTTTTAACATTATCTTATGTATAAATAATTTCATCTTCTTCAAATTAAGGATTTGTTAATCTTTTCAATTAACCCTTATAAATTGTTTCAATATATTTATTAGGTGTGTAACTACTACTCAAATGGGTAGAATCACATAATTTATGACTATTATTAAAGATATTGGTTTTAATTTTATTTTTAGATTAATTTATCAATTTTACAATGTCTCTGAAATATGCAAATTAATATTCATAATGTTGAAAGTAATTGATCTTAGATATTAATTCTGCATAAACAATATGCAATTATAATATAATATCTTAAATAGGCTAATTTATTTCAATCTAATCAAAGTTAAAATCTTTAACAAATTTATAAGTTAATAAATCATTTTTAACTAATGCCAACCAAGTAAGTAAAATTTATTCATATCCATTTTTTAATTGTTTAAATCTAACCAAACTCTAAATCAACTATTCATTTTCAAAAGATTTATCAAAATTATTCATTGTTGTTGTATTAATATTAGTACTACTACCTTTTGGACTAGTTTCATTCTTATTTCTATTAATAATTGATATAAATGATCCATATTTCTATGGTTTTGGATTACCCATATATTTCTTAGGTATAAATAATTTAATTTCTGCTTTTGAATGTCCCTTTAAATAATTGGAACATAAATTATCCAAAGTTTTAGGTACCATTTTAGATGTTTCACTTAACCAAATTAAACCAAAACAAATTCTTGAAATCATATCAATAGCTTTCATATGAATAGTCAATAAACACATTTAATTCTATTTTACATAATTACTTAATTAATTATTATCATGAATCACTTAAGGTACTTCCATATTGATTGCAGTAATTGATCCATCTTAATTAATCATACTTATATCTTATTGAGATGAATTACAATTAAATTCTTTCAATCTATTGATCTCCTCAATTACTTCTTCTAATTATAGTTTCCTTAAAGCTTTCTCTTCAATTAAAGCATTATATGTTTAAGTTTAAACCTTTAATTATTCCACCATTGATCTATAAAATTCAGTAATTTCTTCACTTAATTAATGTATGTTTTAATTATTATAAAATTCATCCATCATTGTTACTATCTCATGTCTTGTTGATTATTTATCTCTACCTATTTATCTAGATTAATCATTAGAATTTGTAGAAACTTCTTTATCTTATTATAACATTTGAACTTCTGTAAAAAACTCAATATATTCACTTGTTTAGAAACATTCATGTAATTTTCTTCTCTTTTCTTATTCCTCTAAATCTAATTATTATATTTTATCCAATAATTTTTAATTTTCCATTTTCAATTCTAATATATGTTGCTATTATTTTCTTAGTTACTCTTATTCATGTTCTAATTCCTTTTATTACATTTCCTAACGTTTCTATTAATTTTTTCTGAATTTCTCAGATAATTACTAAAACTCCAACATTCTCTTATTTGCTTAATGTAATTCCTTTATTACTGAATCATCATTCACTTCGAAATCCTTCACTCGAATATTCATCAATGTCTCTCTTAATTAATTTACCCTTTTTTCAAACAACAATTTAGTTCTCTTAATCAAAGTATACTTACTCTATAGATTCTTTTGCATTGTTTGCATCTACTCTGTCATCCCTCTAATAGAATCTAAGTCTTATAAAACAGGAACCTTCTCCTCTACTTCAATCTCAAATGACTCAAAAAGCTCTTTTCTTTTAGTCATATTATGAGCTATACAACCATTTAAAAGGTCTTGAAACTAGCTAAATGTTATATATCTACTTGAACTGCATTCTTTGTTTCTATTTCCAATTCTTTTAACTCAAATTCCCTTTCATAATTATCATCCTTTATCATCAAAATATAAATTATTATAAATTACATCTTCTAATACTTATTGTGCTACTTCCTAACTTCATCCATACTTAATACCTTCTTCTTTTTAACTATACTTAAATAACATAACAACAAAACTATTTATACTAATTTATTATTTCTTTAATAGGATAATGAGGAGTTGCGCCAGTGGTGGCAATTATTAGTCCAAAGAATAAAATTGAAAGTTCAACTCTTTCCAACTCCTTTTTATTTTGCTGCTAATCATAATTAACCTCAAATAATCTTTTTATATCTTAATTAGATATTTAAGATATTTGAATACTTATGCAAAAAATTGAATTATATTCTTAAACAATACAAATTTTTATAAATCAAGCTGTCACCATCATTACTTTACTTTTAAAATAATCATATATGTTTTCTTCATGATAATATATGATAATATATCCTATTAATTTAGATGTCCAAATTCTTAAGATATAAAAATAATTGAATTTTTCTGATGGCTCTAAAAAAATATAGAACCACAAGCAATACAATCCCATCATTCCTTCTTTCTGTAGTTAATTCATTCAACCTTGATTTTCTCCTCCAATATCATTCATTTGATATATATTAATTATTTTCCCTGATCAGAAGAAACCAGAAAATTAAATATTTCCTATTTTTTTATTTCCTAGTTGATTTAAACAGTTCTCTCATCTAAATTAATTATGAAACCTTAAAAAACACAAATAGCGTGGGTTGATAACTAAAAATGATATAAATTATGCAGATTAGTAATAAATATTATGATTGAGATTATCTAAAGATCGATACAAAAACTAATTTAAATGCATCAAACTATTGTTAGTGAGTTATTTAATGAATAAGCATTTTATTGACAGACATAATTATTTATGATTACTATTGTTAGAATGTACAATATAAGAAAAAAGAAAATTCTTTACAAAAATGTATTTAAACGATTGACAAATGATTTAGATCAGAACAAAGGGATTGTGCCAAGGTGGCATTCATTAGTCCTCATAAAGAATAAGAAAGTTCGACTCTTTCCAATCCCTTTTTATTATTTGATAATTATTAATATTTACATAGTGTAGATAATCAATTTTTAGATCTAATCAATTAATAATCTTTTTTTATGTAAATAAAATTTCTTTTATTGTTTTATCATTTAAAATTATTACTACAATTTATAATATATCTTAAAGAAATATCTCTTATATTGAATAAAATCTGTATATTAACTAATGTATTTCACATTTGATATGAAAGAAACTTAAAATAATAATACTAAATTTTTATATGTAAATAATAATGTAATTTATTTTATAAATTTATTAAAATTAATATAAATATAAGGATTTATATTGTTAAGTAAAATTAAGAAATCCAATCTAAAATACTCTACATCCAGTTAATTAATATCCAAATGAATTCTATTTTTAATTAAGCAATAACACTAATAAATTTCTATGCTGACCTTTTAAATAAAAATATTGATAACAATAAATGATGATAAAAACAAAGAATTCTTCATTTAATTGAGCTCTCAGAGGTAAAATAAAATCTATCCATATCATTTTGCAATAAATAAAATTTAAGTTATTCTAAAATTAATATGCAAATTACATTTCTCAACAATCAAAGAGCTTATTTAACATTATGGACAATCTAATGGAAATATTACACAACAAGATCCAAGAATATGAATTTAACAAGGTATATCTTATTATAAATTGTAATCTGTAAAAGGAGAATTACAAAAAGTACAAGAAGAAGCTTACAGATTAGTTTCAATAAATTCTTAAGATTCAATTTATTAAATTTCTTAAGTAGCTTATGGTAAATAATAATCATCCAAATCATTTAAATTTATTGAAGATTTACATAATTTACAAACAGGATTAAGACCTTCTGTATAAATCTATTTAACACAACTATAGCAAATTAGATGTGAACATTTGTTTTAAAATGACTCAAAAATCTTACATTCCTATTTACAATTAGCACAATCACGAAATGTCATGCTTTTAATCTTTTTATAAAAGTATTTTTAAATATCCTCAACTTTTAATTTATATCCACAATTTACTTTATAACATTAAAAACAACTTATATTTTTGGATATCTCTTTATCACAACAGATTTTACAAAATTTGTGTTAGCATTCAGCTGTATAAATTGATGATTATTAATAATAGTTAAAACAGCCTTCACATTAATAAGTTATTTCTTAATTACCTAATGGAGTTGTAAATGAAATAAGATTTTATTATTCATTTTTTTAAATTGATGAAGATTATTATTATTTGTAATTCGAATCTTTTATAAATTAATCTAAATCTTTTTAAATGAATTTTCCATTACAATTTTTGATAATACATATATTATTTCCACTTGGAATCAAACTGAAGCACCTTTAAAGGCAACTTTTGCAAAAATTATGAGAGCAACCTTAAGGCGATAGTAAAATATCCAGACTCATTCTATTTTTACATTAATGACAAAATGTATTATAATGTTTTTAACTTTCCTCAGCCTTTTATAAGATTATTGAATTTAATTATCCTGTTTTTTCCATCTCTTCTTGTTTATTCAAAATATTTTAATAATCCTTCAAAGTTATTTATTAAGCGCAATTTTTCTCATTACATTGTACAAAATTAACTTTTTTTTTTTCAAAAAATTTCTTTAAACATTAATAACAAACAATTTGATTACATTTCATTTTATAATAATCGTCTGAGAATTGTTTTGTACAATATATACATTTATACAACTAAGGCCCAGGTTCTTTTTGTATAATATAGTACTATTTATCATAATTGTATATAATTATTTGATCTCTATCTTTTGGATCTAATGTTGTAAGGGCCTTTCTATCATAATCATCATTAATTATGATTATCTTAACCGAAAAAATATTTTTTAAAACTGGCAAGACTTCTTCATTAGAAATATGTCCTTTTACTCTTTTAATATATTCTTAAAAGAATTTACTAGGGAAAATATTAAATGGATCTAATGATTTTAGCTAATCTATTAAATAGTCTAATTATTATTGTCCTTTTTTATAATTCAATGAATTTGTTATGATATTTCTCATTTTTATGACCTATTCATCTGAAGCACTTTACAAATACGATATCATTTATTATATTTTATCAAACTAATTAGTTATTTGAAGATATTCCAATAAACCAATCATGATGGCTCCATTCAAATTTTCACCAGTTCTTCTCCACTTCTTAAAACCTTATAATATTTTAATATGATCTGGAATGGTAACAACCTAAAAATATACATTTTAGGGATTATTATTCATTGTATATAAAATAATTAATTAACTTTAATTCAAAAAGTTTGACATGTTGATATAGCTCCTGCTAACAATCCTCCACATCCAACCAATGCATCATTTGGTTTATAAGAAAATATCTTATAGAAAAAATCACTGCCTGTTCCTGCTGGAATTAAGTCACATAAATTTTTTATAAGATTTAAGTAATTTGTATTAATTCTTTTTTCCATTTCCTTAGAGTCAGCTGATTTTTATATTTTTTTCATTGAAGATAAATTTCCAATTAACTCTCTTAAAGTCACAAATAAATTAGTAATTAATCCAATTGTCCAAAAAGTCATTGCAATTTTATGTAATACCTTAGGGTTTTATTTTATTATCTAAATTTATGACAACATACTTAGATTATCAAAAAACCTAGTATATTATTATATGATACCAAAATAGTGCATACCATATTCGTGTGAATATATTTAATGCTCTTATTATTTCATTTAGATTTTCTGAATTATCTTTGATCAATTCTATGATTTATTAAATTTCATTTAAAGTTTTAGCTAATCTAAAAATTTTTCTAGCTTCTCTCATAGCCACTTATTATTTGATATTTATTCATACTAAATAAATTATTAAATTTTGTTGCTTCATCAAGTTGACTACATTTTTAGTAATACCATACGAAAATTCTTGATCCATATTAAAGCATTTTAGAAACTTTATCCCTTCCTTCAGTTTTGTTTAATCCTTTAATAATTTAATCAAATTTTTTCATACAGTATAATAAATATAATTTTATATTTTAAAATATAATGAACAAAAAAATCTTAATAGAGTTAGGAATGAAATAAAAAATAATTCAAAATTCTTCTAAAATATGATCATATAAAAAATCAATATTAGAATTTATATTTCAATTATATAATGAAATGGATTATATAATATAAAAAATTCTAGATTTTTAAAAAAAATGAAGAAAATATGTTGCTTTTTAAAGAGATGAACACATTTAATTGAATATAATATTAATTGATCAGAATCTTTCTCCTCTGATTCTTCTGGCCAATTAGATATCTCTTGACATAATTGTGACTCTTCTTGCATGAATAGCACACAAGTTGGTGTCTTCAAATAATCCAACAAGGTAAGCTTCAGCAGCTTCTTAAAGTGCTAAGACAGCTGAGCTTTAGAATCTGAGTTCCTTTTAGAATTCATGTGCAATTTCTCTGACTAATCTTTAGAATGGGAGTTTTCTGATCAACAATTCAGTTGACTTTTAGTATTTTCTGATTTCTCTAAGGGCAACAGTTCCTGGTCTGAATTTATGGGGTTTTTTTAAACCTCCAGTAGCTCCAACAGCTGGTGCAGTCTTTCTTGCAGCCTTGGTAGCCAAATGTTTAGTTGGTTTTTTATTACCAGCAGTGCTCTTTCTTGCAGTTTATTTAGTTCTAGCCATTTTATTGATTGTTTAATTTAATTTTTGAATTTATATTGAGGGGGTTTTAAGTTTATTAAAATAATTAATTCTGTATTATGATTGGTTGACTAAGAATATTTGTTTGTAATATTGTATATTTTGAAACTTTAAGAAATCTAATCTAAAATTCGAATGATTAAATCATTCTGACTAAGAATTAACCAATAAAAACTAATTTTAAAGGAAAGAGATGTTTACTATTATCAGAAACTATCAGTATAATATTATTAATAATAAATAATATAAATAATAATCAACCATCAAATATAATAAATTGATATATAAAAATATATATCAATTTAATTTCCAAAGATCAACATAATCATTATAATTATCTGTTAAAGCTAAATATTCTCCATTTTAAGACACACAAATAGCTTCATAAAATTGATCTTCTTCCTAAAAAATATCTGATTTTTGAACTTGAATTGTTTATTAATTTATAATATTAGCATTATCATCTACTTTCCATATTTAAACAAACTTTTTATTAGCAACAGTTATCAATAATGAATTATAGTCATTATATTCCATAAGTGAGACATTACCTAAAGGATTAATAATTTGAATTAATCTATATTATTGATTTTCTATAGACTTCTTCCATAATTTTATATCATTTGCTCCTGAAGCTATTTATAAACCATTCTAAATGAAACAAACTGATTCTATTAATTATGTATGAGCTGAAACTATTGCTTAATACTTTTTCCATTTATTCTAATAAGAATTGTACCAAATTAATAAATTATTTTTGCATCCAAAAGAGAAAATATTTTCTTATGGACTTATACATAATGAATCTACAATCCCAGAAGTGGCTTGTATTGATTAAGTACATATCCATATTTCATCTTATTTTTACCATATTTTAATAGTTTTATCTCTACTTCTGGAGAATAACTACTTTTCATCACTTGTCATTTACAAAATTATAACAGAATCCTTATGTCCATTCAGTACTTAAATACATTTCCATTAATTATCTTCTTTTTACCATAATTTTATAATCTTTTCATATCCTGCAGTAAGAAACCATTAACCACATTTGCTAAAACACACAGCGTATATTAAATAAGTATGTAAATTTTCAATTAATTCTTTTTAAAGATGATTTTATTAATCAAGATGATATATTGCAAGATCCATATCATGTGCTGTAATTAATTTTTAATCATTAAATGCTAAATCACATATTTTTGCTTCAGTTTCTATCTTTCTATATCTGGAGTATAATTTTTCTTTATTTCTCTTCTCAAGAATATCTTTAAATCTATATTCTTTTTAAAGCATCTTTAAATTATATTTATAAAAAATTTCTTTTTACTCATTTCAAACATGATCAAAATTTTCTTTTATAAAAGTATAAGATTTATTATATTAATTTTTTTGAATTTTATTTGATATAAAATTAAATATATACAATATTCATAACACCAAAGTTCTGCCTAATGCTGAAGCTATCAATTCTATACCCAAAGCAACAGTTTAAGTACCTTAAATTCTTCCAATCTCAATTAAAATTAATTATCATACTTATTAAAAATCTCCAAAAAATTCTTCTCTAAGTTCAGGAGTCTTTTCTAATTAAGGATTGATTTCTACTAAATCCATTCCTACTAACTATCGAGATGCAGCCAATTTTCTTAATATATAATGAACTTCTCTAGAAGTAATCCCTCCATCTACCAAAGTTCCAGTCCCATGAGCAAACTCTGGATCAATTGAATCTACATCAAAACTTACATGAATAGGTTTTCCTTCAAATTATTTAAGAATCCGAGTCATCACTTATCCTATACCCAACTCAATGATTTCATCCATACCATAATATACTATCTTATTATCTTTAATGAATTCTCTTTCCATAGGATCAATATCTCTAATTCCAACATATATTATATTTTTAGTATCTAATCTATGTCTTAACCATTCAAATCCTTTAATCTATTCTGTAATTGCTCCATAAAGATGTCCTAAAGGCATTCCATGATAATTTCTATTGGAATCTAATTAATAATTGCAATCTGCATGAGCATCTACCCAAACAACCCTTAATTCATCTCCATAATGTTCTAGTAATCCATGTATAGATCCACAAGCTACACTATGATCACCTCCTATATTTAGCATGAATTTTTGTTTAGATACTATATCAAAAGCTCTTTTACTTATTTCTCCATTTATAATACCTAATTGCTAACTGTTCTTAAAAAACTTACTCTTAACATTATTTATCTTATAATTTTTTCCTTGAATATCTCCCATGTCATTAATTTCCCATCCTAAATTATAGAGAGCAGAAATCAATCCCCCTTCTCTAAGTGCTCTAGGTGCTAATTCTGTTCCAGTCTTTGTTTATCCTTCATGAACAGCAGAACCAAAAAGTCCAATTGAATTTCTAATGAATTTCCATTAATTCATTAAATCCTGAATTTATTAATTGAATGAGCTAATTTTATTGTTAATAATTTAATAGTACGTATAATTCAACTAAAATATATTGGAAAACATACATACTAAAAGAAAATAAAATGGTATTAATTATAATAATAACTTTATTGTTCTAATAATTAAATTTGTTGTCTTCATTTTTTATAAAAATTGTAAATAAAGATATGTAAAACAATTTTTAAGAAGTTTTTTTGTGATTGTGTTTATTATTTAAGACTTTAGTTTTATATAATTAAGTGGATCAAGTAAATTAAAATAATTTTGGATTTATAACATCTGTCAAATTGAAATATCGTTTATGTTATTCAAAAAATGATAGGAGTTGATTCTAACGTATTATAAAATTGAATATAGAAGATATTATGGCTTATGACTTATTAATTTTACATAAATCTTTATAAGCTCAGAACCTATTATTATACTTATTAGAAAATGATTATATTAATTAATTGATATAGTTTCAGATATGTTATTTTACCATTTTTTATTATAATTTTGAAGGCTTCTTATTTGGTCCATTTTATTGAAAAAATCTTTATGATTTCTTAAAAAAATAAACAAATCTTAAATTTAAGAAAATTCTTTTCTCATTAGAATTATACTTTAACAGAACTGTTAAAAAGAATAATAAATATTAATGAAATACATAAATTATGACTTCATTTCATCTGATCATTTAAAATACCTTCATACTTATCGTTATAAAGGATCAGATCTATCATTGCTTTATAATTACATTCTTTCACCAATTGCTGAATATTGTTTAAAATTTGTTCCTTTGAATGTTGCGTACTATTTTAGGATAACTATATAATTAGACCTAATGTGCTCACATTACTTGGATTAATATGCGTAATAATTCCACACATCGTTTTCTATTTTATTATGGGTGACACCTTTAATGGATTCATCCCAAATTGGTTGTTGTGGTTAACAGCCACCCTTCATATGCTTTATATGGTAATAATAATCAGTATCCCAGAATTTCGATAATTTAGATGGAAAATAAGCTAGAAGAACAAGTATAATTGCATATAAAAATATTAAGGAAACTCTTCACCACTTGGAATGATCTTAGACCATAATTTTGATTCTATGATCATTTTATTATAGGGTATTATTATATATAAATAATTAATTAGGTACAAACCTAACTACTGCGATGTAAATTGGAAATAATATTTTTGCAGTTGTTCTTTACATAATTCCATCTATTCCATTTTATTTGATTGCACATGAAGAATATTATACACATGAAATGAATCTACCAATTATAAATGCTGCAGCAGAAGGCACTATAAGTGTAGCCATTTTCTTTGCTATTACTGCTTATTTTGGTATTTTGTAATTACCCATATATAAATAGGATGTGATTGGTGGTTAATTAAATTACCTACTTTTTATGAACTATAAATCAACCATTTTGTTTTGGTTGCATTTGCTTCATCTGTCATAATCACTATGCCTTCAGTGTAATAATTTCTATTATTTATCATTTTAGTATATTCAAAATAAGTAAATTCACATCAGTATCATCTTTATTTAAATAACTTCGTTATTTTTTATTCTGCAATGCTGTTATCCTATATAATATATATTTCTCAAAAACTAATGTAATTGAACAACATGTAAGAGCTTATATGTACACAGTTGGTTTTACAATGTCAAAGTCAGTGGGTATTGTAGCTTTGAATCATGTATGTAATGCCCCATTACCAGCATATTTGAATTCTATTTATTTCTTTATTCTTCTTTTAATAAATACTATTTCAGGTTAAATATTAGGATAGTCAATATTAAATGAAGGAATATTAATTTAACTAATTGCTTTATTAAGTATTTTTATTCATATTCATTTCCTATACAATATTGGAAGATAGATATCAAATGAATTAAACATTAAAATTTTTGAAATCAATAAGCCTATTAAATGATAATATTATTTAAAATTTAAACAAAATATTATTAAATTGTAAGCTCTATAATTTACATCGATATTTCTACTATATTGGTCTGCCAAGCTCAATTGGTTAGAGTGTTGGCCTTTTAAACTGAATATCATGAGTTCGATTCATATGTAGGACAAATTATTAAATTTTTAATTTAAATTAAAAAAATAATAAACAATCAATAAATTTAGAATACAAAATAATATTATCAAGAAAATAACTCTAAATTATGGAGATCTGGATATTTGCATTTAAAAGTATTTATCAACTCACTAATCTATTTCTAGCATTCATTAAATGTATTAAAATCTACTTTAGCAATCTTTACTATAGAATCTTACTAAGACTATTTAATTTATTTACAGATTATTTATTAAGTTTTAAATTATCAGCCTTTTTATTTTCTTATTTTGTATCAATATACTCTCTTACTGCATATCCTACAATAGCTGCTGATAAAAGATTTGGTGTATAATTAAGCATATGTAGATCATGCATACACATTTTCAAAATATATACACATGTTTCATAGATATTTTATAATGTATAACTATTTAGATTAAGTTAATTTATTACTTATCATTTAGACTAAAACATTTATAAAATAGATTTTATAAATAATCTAAAGGAGTAGGAAAATAGACATTAAATTATAATGTCTCTAAAATAGTTTGTTCCATAGATTTAACTTTAGAACTATTAAATTTATTATGTCCTACTCTAATTACAATGTCACTTAATGGAATATGATATATATCTTCAAGTTTAGTTGCAATGAAAATACAACTGATACCCATTAGATGTACATCTGCATCTTAATAATACATAGATGTTTTCTTGAGAAAAGCATCTAATAAACCAACAGCTCTAAAGTAAGTTTATGTTGTAGTAGTAGTAGGATAGTTTCCAAATACTTCAATCATCCAATCTACCATCTTGGCTCTCAACATTTCTTTGATTCCATGTTTTTTAATTGAGAAACTAAAAGATATTGTATCCTAAAATAGATATTATTAATGATCATTATGATAATGCCAATTATAAGTGATATTTCTTCTTAATTATGGATTGTTCACATCATCTGATAAAGCATCTATAATTATAAGATTTATAAGATATACATCTTTGTTAAACAGATTCTTCATTATGAATTTGAAAAAAACTCATTTAGAGATGATATATTTAAGATTTCTATTAACTTTCATTTTCTGACAATAAATCTAATAGTTTTCCATCTTCTGGATATGTCTTATCTTCAAATTACTACCAAAATAAAAAAAACTATTTTTTACAAAGAATTTAGAAGAATTACTAGTATTTAAACTAGAAATAGAGGATTTATTTGTTGAGCAAGTTCTCTATTAATTTATTTTTGAAATAGATTACTTTAATCAAAAAGTTTTTTGATGTCTCATTCAATTTTAATCTGGAACCATTACGACGAGTATACATTTTTTATTAATTATAATGAAATATTGTTTAATCTTACATTTTTGAAGTTTGATGTCATATGATAGTCAATTTTATTCTTTTTTCACTCCAATATATTTAAATATTTATAAAATAAATTCAAATTTAAAAGAAGTCATTTATCTCTAAAGATTATTAAATTTCTTCAATTGTTTTTATACTCTGTTGTATAATAGATTATTCATTAAGTGCTTTTTATAATATATCTAAAAATTCTTATTTATCATGTAAATCTTAAAATAATAGAAATAATAATTACTTTATTCTAATTATTGTTCTTCTCCATCAGTTTCAATCTCCTCCTATATATCTGACATTTATAAATTTTAACATGCCATAACAATCTAAATATCTTAATTGATTCCAATATCATTAAGTCTTCTATTTCCTCTAAAAGGTACTTTTTTATTGTTAAAATAAATGAAAGCCTCATTAGTAAATTTAATGGCATCAATTCCAAAATCATACATAGCAAATAAAAAAGCACGTAATTTTAATAAATCCATCCAAATACTTATTGGTGTTATTATGGCTTGTAATACATTAATGTTTCTTGGAAATAAAATTACAAAGATAATATTAATGATTTCTCTACAAACACATAATCCATCATCCAAATTATCACAATGAAAATAGTTATTCATTTGAGGATGATATTTAGTAACAAAAACAATTACATCATAATCTATAATCCATTTAAATTAATAAACATACCTGAACCATAATATTATTTAAAAAAGTGCCATACATCTATTGATACAACATAAAAATCAACTTATATCTAAACATCTTTTTTTAACCCATAAACATATGAATAATTTATTTGTTAATAGGGAGGAATAGAATATTATTTTAATGAGACTAATTTATCCATAGTTCCTTCTACTATACAAGCATTCTAAATTTTATTAAATCTTGAAACATCTATTCCTGATGGGTTTTATAAGAATCTCTAAAATTATCTATACCTAATATTAATATTCATTAATACCATTTTGCTGAAATAGCATATGCATATCCTTCAGTAATCCTATGATTTTTAGAATTATATCCATTTAAAAAGTCATCATCAGTCATTACTTTTTGATAATAATTATTTTAATTATAATCTCTAATCAAATTACTAATATTTACAAACTAAAACTATTTACTTATAGATATATGATTCATTTATTATAATCATTATATTCATTTAATTGCAATCATATTATTTTATTATTTATTAGTTCATGCTTTTTAAAATTGTTCGAAATGCTGTAATTACAATGTAAAAATCCACTCCCAGATTTTATTTCAATTAAACAATTGAGCCTACACATACATAATAAGATGAAATGTTTTCAACTGTATTGGCTACAGAATAATACAAGTACAAATTTAATTATATTTGTGGTTGATATGGCCTTGAATAAATGCAACATGGTAAATATCGTGTAGCTCTTTAATTTTTTGGAAGATTTAAGAATTTCTTAGAAACTAACAATTTAAAAGATAAGGAATGGGTTGATGTTTCAAGAAGGTAAATCTTGTCACAATTAATAGAATTGTCTATTCTAATTTATAACTTAGAAGATATGAGGATGCAGAAGCTCAACTAGAAGAAATAATAAGATAATTTTTAAGATAAAAAGCTAATTATGCCCTTGTGTATTCTGCATATAGTGATCTATTAACTCATTGTTTGAAATACAATTTAAATAAGGCAATATTATTGGGAAAAGCATTATTAAGTGAAATGCAGAGAGAAAATGTACCTTTAGGATATTAGAAACAATTCTTATATTTCTTGGGAGTATTAAATTTAATCATTATTAAAAGACAGCATATTTATTAAAGGAAAATTATACTGATGCTAAATCAAGATTGAGAGAATGTTTGGCTTCAGATCCATCTAATCAATTAAAAGGATGGGCTTATAATAGTTTAGCTGTTGCTTCATGGTGGCATAAATTTCCAAGTCTTAGAGAATTTGTTAGTGATGATGAGGAAGAGACAGGTCCTTAATAAAGTGATATTCCAGCTGAAAATATAGATGCTGATTTTGAAAATGTGATACCTCTATTTAAAAAGTCAATTTATTACATAGAACATTCAAATAATCAAATTAAAACAGGATTAGAATGGTTATTAAATGAAGATCTATTACCATAAGATAGAACTAATCTAACAAAAACATAATTTAAAAGTTTACATGTTGGAAAACCATTACTTAATTTAAGTGAATTTGTATTAAATAAAGCACCATCTAAACGTGCTGAATTATAATTTTGGTTAAAAACTACAATCAATTTTTATGAGGAATAAGATCCAACAAATATGGATAGATCCCTTTTATTTTTAGCTTGGATGTGTAGTACAAATAAATATGTATAAAATTATGATAAATGTTTTTAGTTTGATAGAGCAGAAAGTATGTATAGAATAGTATTATAAATGCTTGAGAATTCAGATTCTTACAATAAAGTATTATGTATGTAATTGCTTGGAAGTATGTTAAAGAAAATGCCAAATAGAAGTAATGAAGGAGAATGTAAATAATCATATATATATATAATATAGAATTGATAATCAAGGCCTAATAGATTGCTGAAGAATTACCCTATTGGTCCAATAGATAAGTACATGTTATTATTCCTGATTTTGAAATCTGATTAATAAATTAACTGATTTATAATTCAAAATGGAAGATCTCCTTGATATCTGTGTTGAACGATAATTTCATGATGTCAATTACATTATCAACATAAATGCAAATATTGAAACTCTCAATATTGAAATTGAATCTAAACAATCTGGTGACTCTTGGATTGCCAATTATCATGCTCAATATATTGAAGAAATTGCATCAAAAACTGGAAATTATAAAAAATACACTACTTTTATAAAGATGCTCTAATCAGCATTGAATAATTAAACTGAAACTGTATACATTGACATTCTTACTTTTTAAGATTTGGAGTAAATCAAAAATAAGAGATCTAATAAATTATAAACTTAAAATATAGCTCCTAATAATAAACGCTATCTTATTCTTAGTTATATAGTTGAATTTGATAAAGTACATTATCCATTACCATTAAATTATAATGAATAACCAAATTTATAATAAATGAAGAATACAATTATTAGATTAAGAAAAGAAAATGAATCATTACATAAAAATCTCTAATTCTTTAAAGATTAAAAAAGAAATGAATCTAATCCATAAATTTTATTAAATGAATAAATAAAAGAATTAGAAATACTTAAAAATATTATTGATTAAAAAGAAAGTGAAATTTTAGAATTAAAAAATACAAATCATCAATATTCAAATACAATGGTTAATAAATAAGAATATAATGAATTAAGATCAAAATATCTATAAAGTGAAAATACTAATTAAGAATTATCAAAAAAAATTATTGAATTAGAAGATTATTTATAATAATTGATTGATGAAAATGTAATTCTTAAAAATTAAGATAAAAAGAATAAATCAAGAATTAATTCATTAGAATCTGAATTATAACAAACTCTTAATAAATCAAAATCAAAATATAATTCAAATCTATCTCGATCTCCATCAGTTTCTAAATCTAACAATAAATAAAAAAGCTCACTTAATACTAGTAATAATATTCCTTCTAAAAGAAAAAGTCTTGATAAAACAACACCAATAAGGGTAATTTTTATATTAATATAATTAGTTGAGAAAAGATAGTTTGGATAGTGATACAGAGTCCTCTTATAGACGTAAATCAAATTCTAAAAGAACTGAATAAAGTCCTTCAGCTAGATCAAGTTCATCAAAAAAAAAAACATTACAACAAAAATAATCAAATTCCAAGCAGTTTAAAAATAAAAATTTTACTAAACCAACAGATTCAACTAAGTTTGAGGATCCAGAAGAATAGCGTTTAATAAAAAGATTAAAAGATTTAAGAGAAAAGAACAAAGAAAATACAATTATAACTACTCCTTCAAGTAAAATTGATGCTACGACTGAAGATTTATAGAGTATAGATGTAAGACTAAATAAATTAAATACATTACTATAATTAGCTAAAAATTAATGAATAAGTTTATATTTTGTATAAAAAATAAATTTCTAATGTATTTCAATATAAATTATTTCTAAAATTATATACTATTATTTAATAATTTATCTAGTTTTTTATTCTATGTGAACATTTAAATAGTTTATTTATCTACTTATTCTTAATATCTTCTTTGATCTCTATTTCTTTTTTAGTTTTAGTGAACAAACATTAATTGTGAATATATAATATCAAAATGGAATCAATATTTTATGGATTCCATTATATTGTTTTAAATTTTGTTTAATTTGTTAAAATTTCCACTATGATTCTGAAATTTATTAAATGTTTAAAATAAAAAATACTTCAATAAGTATATTTATGGTTTATTCAAATTAGATTTGTTATTGTTATTATTTAAGTTCTTTTTTATTCTTAATCTTAATTTATTGCAGCTAAATTGTGATTTGATATTATTACATAAAAATTTTAATAGAGATTTTTGTGTGATTAAAATAAATTCCATTTATTATTTTGATGCAAAGAGACTTGACTCCATAAGATGTGTTACCTTTGATAGTAGAATACTTGAAATCTATTGGATTAAAGAAATCTGCAAAGTAAATTGATTCTTTATATGAACATGATGAAACTCCAATGGCCAATAAGGATTTATAAAAAATAATAAAATATTATGTTGAAGGACATTCGTAATTAATAATTGTATTATTGCATAGTAAACTTGCTGCAAAATTTGTTGCTGAGGCTGAAAATGATGAATAAGAGGAACAAGAAGAAGAAACTGAATAATAAAAATAAGAGGAGAAGAATAACAAATAAGTAACAAAAGTATTGTCAGATAAAAGAACATTTACTTAAATGAATAGTAATATGACATATTAATTTTAAGAAATACCAATAAATGAGGAAGTTGTAGATCAAAAGGAAAAAAAGAGATTTTTCCAAAAATGTGATGAATCAGTATTTGATAAATTGCCTGATCATTTGAGAGATAATACTTTTGAAGCCAAAAAGAAGTTTGGAGAAGGTGATTAATATGGTGAGTTTGGAAATGATAAATTGAAATTTACAAGGGGGGATAATTTCAAGAAGGAGAAAGGAAAATTAAAGAATAGATAATTTTAAGGTATGGGTAGCATAAATTTGAATTCAATAAACTCAATTAAATTATGAAATAAAATAAATATTTAAATATTTGTTCTTTAAATAGGATTATCTAAATATTCAAATTATGTTATAACTAACTTTTTTATAAATTTTATGATGATAATGAGTTGATTAAATAGTTATTATAAAAAATAGTTTATTAACGAATGCTAGGAAGTCGAAGAGTTCGTTCTCACGAATCATCACTTACTAATTTAGATATTTACAATCCTAATTCACCAGTTAGAATTCAACAACATATAGACCATCATCTATTTAAAACTTAAAAATGTTAGATTCAACATCAAATTAACTAAAAAAAGTATTGTCCATATTTTCATGATGAAACTGATCGTAGAAGAGATCTTAAATAATATTCTTATAAGTAATTGAAATCTCAAATATTTAATTTTTAGATGTTAATTATGCCCGCAAGCTGACAATTGTCCATAAGGTGATGAATGTCAATTTGCTCATAATAAAGTAGAGCAAGTATACCATCCAAATAGATACAAGACTAAATATTGTACTCATATAAAGGATTGTGATTATGGAGTTTATTGTTCATTTGCTCATAATGATCAAGAATTGATTATTCCAATTAAGTTAGATGGTATGGTTCAAGATAAAAACTTCTGGATGTTTTAATACAAAACAGTTTGGTGTCCTCTTACAATCAAGTATGATTTTTAATCTTAAATAACATATTTAGTCATGATAGAGCATCATGTGTTTATGCTCATAATGCATAAGACTTTAGAAGAGATCCAAAGAAATTATAACCAAAGGAATGTCCACATTGGAATAAAACAAATTAGATTTTAAATTATGATAAAGGAGGATGTCCAGATTAAGAAGAATGTAAATATTGTCATGGTTGGAAAGAGTTTGAATATCATCCTCTTATATATAAAACAAAACCATGTACTTAGTCTAATTGTACTAAGAAGTTAGGTGAATGTGCATTCTATCATTCAGATTAAGAGAGAAGGTACAATTTTCAGTTAATATTTTATAAGAATTCGTAAATAATTAGCTGATAATTAATGGATAATAGAGGAACCCAATATTCATGTTGAGGCAAAAAGACAACCATATAAACCTACATCAAATTATCTTGGTCCAATAATACCTAATTATATTCCTTAAGATTATATGAGCAAAGAGAAATTAGAAATTGGATAACCGTTTTGTTAATAATCCATAACAAATACAAAGACATCTGATTCAAATTCAAGAAGAGGTTCTGATTTTTCAGATGGAGCTAAAATGCAAAAAAAAAAACATAACATTCAATAACAGTTTTAATCTTAAAAAAAACATCGAACAGCACCTACAACACCAGATTAAAAATAATTACATATAATGGGCAATAATTACACTATGAAAGTATAATAAACTGTTTAAAATAATTCATATCTTACTTACTCAAAAAAACTTTATGAAGAAATACTTAAATTAAATGAGGTAATTCAAATATATATATATTAGGGTGAATATATATATAAAATTTTGTAAGGATTAAAAATATAAGAATAAACATTAATGTAAATGAGTGATTACTAGATTAAATAACTTAATCTTAGTGAATAATAGATTACATAACTTACCTCAGCATTAGCTGCTATTAAAATAGAGAAAAAATACGATGAGCACTGTGGTGATGAACTTCTTAGTTTGATATCAAATTAAGGCAAATTTTGAAATTTTCAATACACATAAAAATATCATTAATATAAATTTTCCTTTTACTTAGAAATTTTAATAATAATAAATATTTTGAAATTGTTAATTTAATTTATTCACAACTCTCCACAATCTTCAATAATGATTATTTATTTTCTTGCATTATATTATTTTAGAATAAGATTTCCTTTCCTTTATGAATTAATTTACATTTTATTCTAGATATTTCTTTTTAATTTTTCAATAATAAATTATTATGGCATTTATCTCCAATAATGGATTGGAAAACTTGAAAAAATATAAATATGTATCAGGAGGATACTCTTATCTAGATAATAAGATTAATCCATTCTGGATATTCATAAGTGAGCTTTATCCTATTGTAAATATTAGAAAATCATTATTATAGTGGCTTGCTCCAAATTTAATAACATTCATTGGATTCATAACAATGATCTTAGCTTGTGTATTTTAGGTTTTTGCTGATATGACATTAACCCAAGAAATACCATCATGGACATTTTACTTTATGGCATTTGCTATATTTGCATATTAAACTCTTGATGCAACAGATGGAAAATAAGCCAGAAGAACATAATCTTCATCACCTTTAGGTTAGTTATTTGATCATGGTTGTGATTCATTCATAATGCAATTTTTTATTATTGGAGCTGCATAAGCAACCTAGATGGACAGAGACACATTATTTTATTTTTAATTCTTTTGTTAAATAGGACTTTGGGCTATTAATTAAAAAGAATATTATACTGGTGTTTTACATACTCATTTAGCTAATTTTGGAGTAACAGAATTAGAATTAGTAGCTATTTCAGTATAATTGGTATAATTACATAATATAAATTAGTTTTCTGCAATCTTTGGATAAAGTGCATGGCATAATAAAATATTTGGATTCAATTTGTATAAAATAGTTACAACAACTATATTAATAGCAGCAATTATATCTGACATTTTTTTATTTTTCTCAAATATATTCAAATCTTAAAAATCATTTAGAGTGTTTATTGAATGGGTACCTTTATTTGTGTTTTGGACATTATGTAATAATCAATTATATGAATTAGAATTTGTTTGGTTTTCATCTCCTATATATAGTCAACTTGCTGGACCACTCTTGATTAATTTTGGAATTATTTTATCATCAATTGTATGTAAAACAATTGTTTGTTCAACAACAAAAGTAAATTATTATTGTTATATTTTAGGATTAAACTCCTTTATTCCATTTAGAAATGTTGCCTTTTATTATAATTAGTTTATTAACATATTTTGTTCCATTCAGTTTGGAAAATTTGAAAATATTGTTCTGGATTTAATTTATTTCTACGATTGTCCTATCTCTCTTATTTATTAAGAATGTTATAAATTAAATAACTACATATCTTAATATTAGTTGTTTTACAATCAAAAAGAAAGAAAATTGAGTAATTATCAAATTTTACAAATATATTTCACAATAAGTTTCTTAAAAATAATTTAGATTATTTTGCAAATATAATTTAATATTTATAAGAAATTCAAAAATCTTTTTTTTATTTTTTTATAAATAGTTCCTCTTAATCTAAATATATTATTTATCGATATAATTAAACCTTATATATATGATGATTTATTCCATTATTTTCTAAATTCTAAATAATTCTTAGATATGCTATTTAACCGATCTAATATGTATTTTTAATTTTTAATAATTATAAATCCAGATGAATACCTTTAATATTGATAAGAATAGATTTATGAAAAAGGCAAATGAGAAGAAATCATAAAAAATGATATCTACAAATCCACTTTTAATATTAAAAATTAGGGAAGAAGATTTTGACGACGATCTAAACTCTCCAACCTCACCTCATTTATCAATACCTATTTTTAGTCCAACCAAATTCATATTTCCAACACCAGGCACCTCTTAAAAAATTAAATGATCTTATACATTTACATACTTATATTAACTAAAAATATTGATCTAAGAAATTTTTAATTCTTGATTTGATTACCAATTCTAAGCCATATTATAAAGTTTGAATAAATACATTAATAAGAACTCTCATTTTTTTAAACCTTGCTATTCTTGATTAAGATATTTCTCTCTTCACATTTTTCAAAATTATTTCAATATATTATACATCAAAGATGATAAGGACATTATATGATAAACAAATAGATAAGAATTTAGAGTCCAAAAAAATAATTTTAAAATGATAAGAGGTGAAATTTAATCTTAGATTAGAAATTAGAATATGTAATTATTTTTATAAAAGTATTAAAAATTCTCAATTCAATTCTTGAGAAAATTATTTTAAAACCAGTTCAAGTTTGACTCGGTTATAATAAAATAGATTTTACAGTCTTATTTAAATTGAATAACAAGATTATCCAACTCTTAATAATTCTTTTATTCTTTTGTTTAAGTTCTATTATGATATTGTCAAATCAACAATAATATACTTTGTTAAAACAAATTTTAATTAATTATATCATATAATTTAAGAGGATTATAAAAAAAATAATAGATATAAGCAATGTTGCAAAAATGCTAGAATTTTATTAATGAAGGATACACCATTTTGAGATAAGTAATAATTTAAGTAGTTTGATAATTATCCTACTAAGAACTTCTAGTAAATTCTATAGCTGTTTTTCCTGGTTTAAGATTTCAAAGTGCCAAAATCTTTTAAACAAACTATAAAAAAGAGACATAGAATTTTGTTAATTAGTTCAATGTTATAAATTAAGATTTTATGATTGTAGTTGAACTATTCATGTTATTATTTTAATCAATAAATATTTGTTCTTTACTTGTTAAAATAAAATTGGTTAACATTTTGAAGTGAATTTCTTTTGCTTATTTTAAAATATTTTAGATTCATTAGGATTATTCTAATAATAGGTATCTCTTATTTTTAAATTTAATGCTGATAGATTTACATTCAATCTATCTAAAGTTGATACCTTATATTACTAATAAGTTGATTTTTTTATTGATTAAAATTTAATTATAAAATAATTATATATGTAACTTTAATTAAATATAATATTAACAGAATTTCACTCCTCTATTATCAATTTGATCTTAATTCTATACAAAATTTTAAATTAATATTTGAAATTGAAAATCATTCACTAAGGATGTAACTTAGAAGTGGAAAACTTAAGAAACCTCCTGCTAGAATATGCATGTCTTCATATCAAGTATTTTATGCTGAAAAGGCTGCCTAAATGAAAGAAGATGGGAAGATGAAAGGCAAAGAAATTCAAATGAAAATCAGGGACATGTGGAGATAAATGAATGAAGAGGAGAAAAATAAATATGATGATGAATTTGAAAAAATGGAGGCAAAGTATAAAGAAGATTTACTTTTGTATTATGGTGGGAATGCATAAGATTTGAAAAAATACAAAGCATTACTGGAAATTCCTGAAAAACCTAAGAAACCAGTATCTGGTTGTTTAGTTTATATAGCAGAAAACAGAAGGTAATATTCAGAAGAAAATCCTGATTTATCCTTTGGTTAAGTAGCAAAGGGATTAGTTGATAAATATAATTTACTTTCAAATAAGGAAAGAAAGAAGTATGATGATGAATTTGATAAAAAGTTAGAAAATTATCATAAAGAATTGGATGAATGGTCAAAGTATAATATATGTAAATACTTAATTAGAAAGTATTCAGAAAAGAGAGAACAATTTGATTAATTGATAGAGGAGAAGTTTAAAAGATCTGCTACAAGACAAGATTTGTAATATTAGGAATTGCCACCTTATAAAAGAGGTCCAAGAAAAATGAAAGAAGATGATGAGACTGTATAATAGTAATAAGAGATGGAACATTAAAAGAAAAAGGATGACAAAAAGAAAGAAGAAAAGAATAAGTATTAATTAATAATATAATAAAATAGTAAAGAATAAAATAGTTAAATAGGAATCAAAAATGGAAAAGATGAAGGAAAAGGTGAATCAAAGAAAATGAATGAAAAAGATACTAAAGATAATAAGGAAATAAATAAAAAAAAATCAGTAGGTAAAAATGTTGATCTAATTTTGTCATTTAACTATAATTATTTTCATAATATTGTTTTCTGTTAATATATTTAACGAATGTAATTATATTTCATATACTCAAATTTCCTTTAATAGATTTCACCTCCGACAAACAGTTGATTAAATTTAATTCATTAAAATCATTTTCTTCTTCTTCTGCAAAGCGTGTTAATTAATTAAGCTAAAAGGTATTCAAATTATGCAAGTGTAAATAATTATTTGAAAGAGCTCTATAAGAAGCAACACAGGGTCTTATTTGATATTTTATACTCTGAATTCCAACCTTGAAAACAAATTTGAAAATCATTATGGTCTAATTTTTTATTATTTTATTTATGAAAAATAATAATATTCTAATAATATTTATTTATTAACATACTTTCTTAGTTATATCTTAACTTATAGAATAAAATTTTTAGATAAAGGATTATGAAATTAAGAAACTATTTGATTTTTAATCTTTATGATTAATAATTAGAAAGAATATCAGTAAATGAATAGATTTGTTATTAATTCATTCAAATATAAATCATTATTTTTCAGCAAATATTTTCATTAATTGATTCCTGTATTGTAAATGACCTTCTGGGTTTTTAATTTTGGAATTGAATATATATGGTACATACTATTTCTTTAGAAAATTCCAACTATAAATATATACATTAGATTATATACCATATCTATCTAAACTATTTTTATAATTTGTCTAGTCTCTATAATTTATGAGGCCTTGTTATTTTTATGAGTTAAGCAAGATTTTAAATTTTTCTGTGTTTATCAATGAATTTAAAAAACTCCTCTTATTCTTCAATCTGGTCCATAACATTATGATTTAGAATTTATTGTATAATGGCTTTGGCTACATTCTTAGGTATATTTTTTGATTTGATTGATTCTGGTAACCTAGGAGTAGTTTTTTGAAGAGGGCGTTTAGTCTAATTTTTTTTTCTAAGTATTGCTTTCCAACTCAAACCTATAGTCATAGATGCTTCTTTCATTTGAGGTGCATGATGACATAAAGAAGATGTTGGAGAGTTTTCTATTGATTGTGTTACACTTGTCATATAATAAGTAGAAACCAATATGTTAAATTAATTTTATATGATAGTTAAGTCAATCAATCTTTATAATTATCATACTAAGAAAACTACTTTTGCGATATTAATACTAGAAATCTAAAATGATATCAATAATATTTGAATTTTAATATAGATGAAATTATTGAAACAAGTAGGCATGTTATTTTCAAATAATGTTTGCAAATCAAATTTCTACTAGTATAAGATAGAAGAGTTTTTATTAAACTTCTCTTAAGATAGACAGGAACTTAAATTCTTAGAAAATTTGGGGGTCTACTTAAAGTCTTATTGGTATAGATTTAACATTTAAGTAGAAGAGAAAACTACTTAATTCAGAATATTTGTTATATGAATTCGTATTTATAAGTTTCCCTAATGCTTCTATAGCACTATATACACAAAAATTATATCCAAATTTTCCTAATTGCAATCTCAAGAATTTCTGATTAATAATGAATTCTTTGTAATGACTGAAAAATTAACTTCTTCTAAATATTAAGCTAATTGATATTATATTATTATATTTATACTCAGAAAACAAATGAGATTTATTAGATCATCCTCAAAATTGTTAACTAAATGAAGTAATTTATGCTGATAACTACTCTACTACTGTTTCTAAATTTTATCCATCATAACATATCAATATCATATCAAATCCTTTTTATGAAAATTTAATATACCATCTACTCCTTTTACAATCAAATAATCCTATTATTATAATACAAATATACAAATGAGTATTTTGAGTTGTAAATATTGTAGGACTTGAATTTATCAATCTCCAAATTACTGTCATTATATTGAATAAATTAAGTAACCCTTTTTTCTAAACACTTATAAATGATTGAAATTAAGGAGTGACATTTATTTATTAAAAAATCATTAATTATGTTTTATTTGAGGAATAATTTCATTTTATTTTATCGTTTTGCAAATTAACCAAAGATGTATCTTTGATATTCTAATTTATAGAGCATTCATTTCCCAAGAGCAATTCTTAGGAGAAATAGGTTATGTTTTACATAAACTTGAATAATCATTTAATAAACTTAAAGAATATGAAAATAGAATTGAGATTAAAACAGATGATCTGAATCTTTGTGTGGCTGTCAAAGATTTAGGAGAATATAATTTTACAACTAATGTGAAAGAAAGGAGATTATATCTCTAAACACCATTTAATTTATTCTAGTATTATTATGATGAATAAGCAGATTAATGGAGAAATGTTAAAGATTAACATAATATGATTGAAAATTTAACTAGAGAAACAGGAAAATACTTAAAAGGGTACTTGGAATTTTGATGAAATGATTCTAAATTTCATTATAAAAATATTGTTTATTCATTATTATAAGATTTCTTTTATTAAATCAATCATCTTATCTAATATTATATTGATTATAGATAATTATCTATATAATGACATATATAAATTTAGTTAAATTGAATGATTTTATTATGAATAAAACTTAAAAAAACTATATTTGGAATATTTCTTAATTCTTATTTTATATAATATTTGTATTAAATTTGTTAATGTATGTAATAAATCAGAATCCCCATCTAAATCTTCCAGGTGGATAGAAGGGACCAGCTAAAAATCTTCCTGAAGCCATGTATTCCTTAATTTAAGGAAGATTTGAAAATTCTTAATGGTGTTTTTAGAGGTTAGCAAACTTTGCCCATGATTCAGCATTGAAAGATTTTAATGTTTCTTCTAATTCAAAGAGAGCAAAGTCAATATATGTAAGATTAGCTCCAGCTGCCCAAGTCTTTCCACCAATAAATTTATCTAATCTTTCAATTAACCAAGCAACTTCATTGGCATAGATTTCCTCTTTTTAGGCTGCATATTGATCTTCAGGGAGTGTAATAAGGTGGAAGAAACCTTTTAAGGCATCTTAGATAACACCTCTCACTTAAGCTACAGCTACTTATTCATCTGGTGTGGATCCCAAGAGATCAGCTCTATTTGCCTTATGTGCCAAGTAGACATAAAGAGCAGCACTCTCATAGACGTACTTATCACCATCCTTAATATATGGAAGGTTGACAAGAACGTGGGTGTTGAATGGAGCTTAAGCGAGTCCTCCAAACCATTCTTCTGGTTTAAGGTATCTTTTATCTTCATATGGTAAACCCAAGTACTCTAAAAGATATCTCACTAAAGGAATGATATTAATTCATACATGGTTGAGCCAATCCTCTGATTCCCCAATATCCTAAAACAAGTTGATCTGCCATATTAATTTATTACTCGATGACGAATTTAATTTGGATATAAATTGTGTAATATATATCTAGAAACTTCTATGTGGAATAAAAATATTATATTATTTTACACAAAATCATAATTCAGCTTTTGGATCCACAACTTAATTAGCTGCATTATCTACAATCCATTTAACAAATCTTTCTTCTTAGATTTTGTTTGCTCTAATTACAAACTTAATTGGTTAGTTATTTTTATATAATCTGATTTTAACAATTTCAACAGATTCACCCAAATCGCTAACTTCATTTTATGATAAATCAATTTTATTAAAAGTTAATTATTTATTTTATTGGAGTCTTTCAGCCACCTTCAAAAATTGTTCTTGAACTGCATTGCTAAATAATTAAATTTAATATAATACTGTTCTTCATTTTGAGAATCATAATATAAGATTACTGAATCATTAACAGATCTTGCAGTATCATAAGTATCTCCAATTAAGATTTTAACCAATCCTTATTATTATGGAGCAGCTTATGATTTAAGATATTTGTGTGCTTTTCCTTATTAAAATGCTTCTAAGAATTCACTAACACTTTATCCTTCAACTCTCTTATATCTTTAATCTCCCTTAATGATAAAAACTCCTTTTTAATCTTGAGATCTGACTTAAATTTTTCTAGTGAATTCTTCATCAACATTCTTAATGAAAAGTAATTCATCTTAGAATGACCATGCTTAAGCAGCTACTTAAACTTCTTGTTCATCAGAGAAAATAACAACAAATGGTTTACTTTTTGTTATTCTTTCATCTAATAGTTCCTTCTTTTCAGAATACTCTTAAACTCTTTCATTTGCTACATTTTCTACAAAAGTTCTCATAATTGGGAATGAAAGTTTTCCTTAATAATAATAAGGCTTTTGATTTCTAAATCCTACAAAATATGTTCCTTTGGGAATGTTTAGAGCTTCTCTGATTGTTTTGCTTGTTGTATGAGCAAAATGTTATTTCATAGTGAATGAGAATTCTTTGTATTTTCTTAATTCTCTATCTTTTTCACTTTGTTCTTCTGCAAAATAGACAAATTGAACATGATTTTGAGCAATAGCCTCATTAACTTATTCAAGAGTTTCAAGTTATTCACTTTCAGGATTAAGATTGCTGTAAATCCAATTCTTAATACCATCAGCAGTTCTACCACCTTCAAAATCCTTAACAGCTTATTTGACACTGAATTTTATTGTTGGATATCCTTTGACTCCATATTTTTCAGCCAATTTCTTTTAGACTGTGGCATCAATCTTAGCTAAAACTATTCCTTCAGGTCTAAGAGCAGTGGCTGCCTCAGCATATTTAGGTGCAAGTTCTTTGCAATGTCCACACCATGGAGCATAGAATTCAAACATCAAATAATCGAATTCATTGAAGGCTTAATCAAAAGTTTCTTCTGTGAGTACCATAACATCTCCATCATATTCATACTCAGCAACTACAGCAAAAGCAAGTAAAGAGAGCAAGAGAAGCGATTTCATAATTTTTATTATTACGTGTATTTGGCTAAAAATTCTAGAATTTATATAAGAATTATATATGAAAATTATT